ATATATATATATATATATATAAAAAATGTATACATGTGCATTCATAGTTAATCTACATAGTTAAGGCAGATTTCTAAAATAATTTCTTCTAAAACATTTCCATTTTTAACAGGTTTTTGAACCCAGATGCAAGAATCGACATTTATGTATGATCTAATTTTCTTTTATTTTTTACTGCAGGTTCCTGCTATTCAGCAGAAGAGAACTGTAGCGTTTCTAAACCAGTTTGTGGTTCACACAGTGCAGTTTCTCAACCGCTTTTCTGCTGTTTGTGAAGAGGTATGTTTATTATTTTCTCAGCTGTCGATTTACACAATGAAAAAAATCCTAGAAATGGGAAAGATTCAGTTTGGTATTTTTGATGCAGTAGTACTGGTAACTTAAACCAAAAGATTTAGTTTGTTTTCTGTTCAAGGTTTCTCTTGAGTAAATGCCTACGACAGATTTTTTCTCCAAGATATCCACAGGAACTGATGATTATACCACGCTTAATCCCATTTCCTTAAACTTTTGCATTTTGCACAGCCTTTGAATTTTTTGGTGGATTTTTTTTTCTGAGCAGCTCCATCTGTGGAGATTGTCTTTTTTTGGAAGAAAGAAGCCATATTCCTGTGGTGCCAAATCCAGTCTGACAGTCAGTATCCCTCTCATCTCTGTCTTAGGGTAACACATAAAAACTTGCTTTCAGACTTTGCCGCCTTTAACTTAAAAAAGTGACATGCTAAGCTCTCTATGTAAACAATTTTGATGCTGAAAAAGACATTTCTGGCATGTGATTAGTATAAACATGAGCCAGTTAATTTTAATGTCTCTTGAAAAAGAGAAAAAAAAAAAATATATATATATATATATTTCACTTTATTGAGTTTTTATGGTGACTTGAGCGTCAAGGAAATATAGCAGACAGGCAGGACTAGAACTGGCCACTGAGCAGGCAAAGAGCACCTTGTAGAAAGCATGTTTTCTAGTGTGGCTTTGAGCTTAACCTTTTTGTCACTAGTGGGTTTTTTTGTAACTCTTCACTAGTTTGTTCAACAAAGACTGCTGTGTAGCCCTAGCCAGCAGGACTAGGGCAGCAGTCAAATCCAATTAAATTAAGCCATGTAATCTGAGAAATTCTGTTATTTGTTAGTAAAGTTTAGAGCCAAGCCAATGACAAGTATAAAATTTGGCTACCACATCAATGTAGGGAGCTTCAGAGGAAAAAAAAAAAGTTTATTAAACTGACTGTAACTTCATATTCTAGTCACATATGAACGTATGCCTAGTTACACTAGACAGTGTAACTGCTGCCTAGTGGTCCCATTGTCAGTTGTCATATGATCTCAATATTGCCTTTTACATAGGCGCTGTGGAAATCAGAATGTATCTATTGAAAGCCATCATCAGCTCACAGCAACTCTGTGAAGTCTAATCAACAAAACAGTTATTAGTTAACCTAAACATGTTGTTATCCAAGAGACTAAATAGTTGCTTTATAAACCCTTTAAGAAGTTTTTTTTTGTTTATGAAGAACAGAAGTGTTTTTAATATGAAAGGTCACAGTCTAAATCCACAGAAGCCCAGAAATTAAAAATTAGGGCTGACACCATTGTTAACTCTAAATTTCTAGGCTCTTTTCTAGTCAAACTGACCCATAAAGTTAGATAACTGTCTTTTGTACATCTTTCATCTGCTTTCCCCACCTACGTCTAGGGCACATAGTTCCTTTCAAGAGGAACTAACTCCTCTTTCTGAACAAAGAACCATCTGTAAACAAGTCAGTGCAGTATCCAGAAAGACTAACTCCTGTCAGTCTCTTTTTACTTTTTCTAGCATATTGGCAAAACTGCCATTTTCTTAGGGTGTTAAAGTTCTACTTCAGAGCCAGGCAGAATCTTGCCAACATGCCAGAAAGCTGTCAGAGTGGTACATATCTGCCAGCCAGCCTGCTAGCCAACTTGACTTGGACAAGTCTTGTGGAGTATGGTAGTGATTAGTTAAAAGAGTGACAGTTCTTCTAGAGTAATTTAGAAGAACTTAAGCTGTATTTAAAAAAAAAAAAAAAAAAAAAAGTGTCAAAATTTGGTTGAGGTGCACCCAGAGCATATAAAGCTTCTGGTTAGTTCTGGTTCACTGTTATTTAGACTGTATAGGACTTTGAATCACCTGCTGTATTCTTTATAAGATTTTTCTACTTTGTAATTGCTCAGTTACATACACACACATCACATCCTTCCATCTTCCACATTTGGAAAAAGCTTTGAAGAAAGATATTTTGGGAACTGTGAGAGTACAATATGTCTGCCATTATTCTCCAGCTGCCCAGAGTAATACCCTATTTACTTTGGCTTTCTCTTGTATATAGTCTGTCTTCCATTTCTGTCAGTCATTGTTTGGGAAAACTAACTGCCTAGTAAAATTATTTAACATTTGAACCAGTGTAGCCTCTGTACTAAAAAGGGATGTCATTGCTTCATTTATTTCATAATATTGTCATCTTATTTACACTCTACTCTGCCTTCAGCAGATGGAAGACAAAAGTGATTTTGTTTAGCTAGATGTGAACTGTTTTATATGCACAAGTGCCATGTGGAATGTTTTGACATCCTAATTATTTTCTATTCTAGAAATTGTCAGCACTCTCTCTCCGTATCCAACAAATTGAAACAACACTCAATATTTTGGATGCCAAGGTTTGTATGTGTACAGACTTTTATCTTCTAACAGTGACAGCCTCCTAGATTGCATGAACTACCTTCCTTTTCATATCAATTGAGCAAATAAGTTTTCATAATGATTTGAAGGAGCTAATATGAAATGCTCACATGATAAGTTTTCTGCATGCCTTGTCACTTACATTGTGTAACATTTGAACATGTAGTTGATATGGAGGAAAGGAACCAACAGCACATAGTGGAAATCATAGAATCGTAGAATGTTTTAGGCTGGAAGGCACCTCTAGAGGTCATCTGGTCCAACCTCCCTACACAAGCAGGGACATCTCTACCTAGGTCAGGTGGCCCAAGGCCCTCTCAGGCCTGACCTTGAATGACTCCAGAGTTGGAGCCTCTACTACCTCTCTGGGCAGCTCATTCCAATGATCTATTATTACTCTTATATTAAAGAATTTTTTTCTAATACCAAGTCTAAATCTATGCGTTCCTAGTTTAAAACCATTACCCCTTGTGCTATCATAACAAACCCTTTTGAATAGACCTTCCCCCACATGCACCCTTCAGGTACTGGAGGGTCACTATAAGGTCCCCTCATGGGATTTGTCTCTGTTAAGCATATCAAACAGGAAAGCAGCACTTGGATCCCAAAAAGACAACTACATGTTGTAGTTAAAATGAAATGAAAACATGTCATTTTAAAACACATGTTCATTTTATTGCAATGTTTGGTTCTAAGAAAACAGAGATGTTTCCTACATTAAAACACATGACTTCTCTTGCAGGATTGTGGTATGAAGTTGGATTTGCCATGTAATGAGTTTTTTTTCCCCCCTTTGTAAATCAAGTGTGTCTTTGTAAGTGTTACCCAACTGTAAGGATTTCTGTTGGTATGGATATTGAAATATGACCTGAATTGGATCTAAGCTTACACAAATGGGCCTGATGTGTCTTTTTTATCTGAAATGACAAAAGGATATACTCTATAGTTTTGTGTTATCATTAGATTTGCTAAAATAAAAATTAAATTAAAAAAAAATAAATTGTAGAGTTTTAACCAATTCTTATTTCAGTAATCATGGAAGCAATTTTGGTTAGCTTTTCTGGGAACAGGGATAGGACATTTTTGAAACTGTTCATTAAGATCTTTATGAAAAAAATATTGTAGTAGTACAAACAGAACTTATTAACTCTTATTTATTTCAAAATATTTAGGAATGGCCAGTACTAATAATTTTTTCAGAATTCTTCATAATTAAGTTAAATAGAATTTTCTTCAAATAGATAGGTAGTGTATTTAATACCCACTCTCAGCATTTCCTTAGAAAAGAGTGAAAGATGTAGAAGACTGCAAAACCTGTACCCAGTCATCCATCTGTTAGGCAACAGAGATGTTCTTAACCATGATTTCTTTGGCTGTAGAGGAGGAAGCAGAGGAGATGGTGTGACTCTTACATGGTTGGTAAGTGCAGCAGCAAACTGCTGGGAAGGTTTCTAATCCTTTCATGCACAGCAACCCTGTGTTAATAGTGAAAGGTCCAGTGCAGTGGTTTGGGATTTTTGTTGTAGAAGCCACCTGAATAGAAAAATCTTTTTTTGCGAATGAAAATACCAAAACTAGTGATAAAAAGTTAATGATTTTACTAATGTGAAACCTACCTGGGGAATATATCTTGATCAGCATATTGCAGATTTTATGGTACACATAGGTCTATGACATGCTTGTTTCTTATTCAGTGATGTTTTGTACATTTAGTTGTCCTCTATTCCTGGCCTAGAAGATGTTAAATTTGAAGTATCCAGTGCAAATATGAATAGTGTTACAAATGGTCCTGTGGCACAAGCTACTACAGATCAACAGACAGCTGTATCACCTCCATCCGCAGTAAGTAATGACACATAACGAATACACTGAAGGAATATATCTCTCCATGTCAAGTTTCTAGTCTCATTTGAAATAGATGAGAAAAGCAAGTCTATTGGATGAGAGCAATCAACTGTAGAGATCTAAAACTATGGTTTTTACTAACAAAACGGTTTTAATGAGTGCCTTTAAACAAAAGAGGGTATAATCATTCTTGAATATGTGGCTTAAATAGAACTAATTCAAATCGAATGGTAAATCCCTCCTCCTTCCTCCTCTTAATTTGCACGAAAATATGAATGTGAATTACATCAGGGGACTGGGAAGGTCATGAATGAAAATAACAGTTTGAATCACATAATTCCAACTCTTTTCTCCTTGCTTTAGAATGTGAGCTTTCAGCTCCAATTTGAGTTTCTAGTGTTCTTTATTTATAGAGGCTATTCCCATGAATGTTTCCTACATACTATCATCTATGTACAGAAAATGCCAGCTTATTATAAATAATCAACATTAAGATCCTATCCCTGCAATTAATTTCTGGTGGTAGGGTTTATTTTGTTTGTTTTGGGATGTTTGTTTGTTGTTTGTGTGTGTGTGTTTGGTTAATTTTTTAACCCCAAATTAAATTCTGTGATCACTACTTCACTGAGTGAGGCTTTCTGGCTCATTTGTAGGTGGAGTTCTTTC